AGAATTTTTTTTTTTTGTATACGATACATACGCGCTGTCAATGATTCTTGGAATTTTTCTTCCAACATGAAGGACCCACTCGACCACTTGGAGACTTACTAGTCTCTAATGATGTTTCACAATATCCCAGATCAAATCATGTGTAGAGCTTACACAACTAACCTTAAGGGAACAACAAGACATTGGTTCAATAAGCTTAAACCCAACTCAATTAGCTCACTCAGAGAGCTTAGAAATCCTTCATCTCACACTTCATTAGTAGTCGAGCTCAAAGGAGATGCCCCTACTTACCTCATTAATATAAAACAAACCAAAAATGAGACACTCAAAAACTTTGTTAGTCGATTCATAACAGAGTCACTGCAAATTGACAATGTGGATGAGAAGTTAGCCCTCATAGCTTTTATGGGAGGTCTTCAACCATTCCAATTTCTTTTCTCCCTTTAAAAAGATCCACCTCAGAGCATGATCGAGCTCCTATTAAGAACCTAGAGCCACATGAACACTGAGGGTACTCTCCTTGCTTGGAGAATCCATGAGGACAAAAAGAGGCATAAGCAACCAAGCATGGGAGAAAAACCAAGAAGTCCTAAGAAGAACCAAACAGAATGAGTAAGTGTAAGAGATCACTTGGCTACTTGGTCCAAACGAATAGACACGGAGATATAAATCTTTGAATACCTCAATCGAGCAGATTCGTTTTCATATCCAGGATGAAAGGGTCCTAAAGTGGCAAGGGAAGATGCGGACTCACCCAAGTAAGAGATCAAGAGATAAGTTCTTTAGGTTCCATAATGACCATGGACACAATACTAAGGACTGCCAGGTCCTTAAAGAACAAATAGAATATCTCATCCAGAAGGGGCATCTAGGGAGGTATATAGAACGTAGATTCCTGGAAAAAGCAAAAGTACAACCTATCGAAGAAGTCCGAGTAATCTCTAGAGGGTTCGCCAGAGGGGGGGAGAGTAGCTCTACAAGACGGACCCATGCTCGAAAAGCAAAATTCGAGCAGGAGATCTCCCTTGTGAATCCAAGGAAGAAGGTTTGTATAAGACCACCAATTACCTTCTCTAATAAGGACTTGAGTGGAATTCAACATCCTCATAATGACCCATTAGTTGTGACATTTTTCATTACCAATTACTCGGTGAGAAGGGTCTTGATAAATAGTGGGAGCTTGACCGGCGTCATATTTATCCATGCCTTTGACAAATTAAACTTTAGACAGGGAAAATTTGGTGCCTATAATTGCTCCATCCATTGGATTCTCAAGAGAGAAAACATATTCCTTGGGAGCTATAGTCAACCCAATACCAGTTGGACAAACACCTCATCAAACTACCATCATCACAAAATTTCTAGTTTTAGACTACCTTTCAGCTTAAAAAATCATTCTAGGCCAACCAATCCTCAATTCAATAAAGGCTGTTCCATCAACATATCTTTTATAGCGTTTCCCAATTATTGGGAGTAGGTGCGGTACGAGATGATAAAGTAGCAACCAAGGAGTGCTATGTTGCTTCTATGCTAGAAAAACAACAACAAGAAGTGCTACATATTCGACTTTGGACCACAGAGATAATGGAGAACGCCTTCGATCAGTCGAGGACCTTGAGCCCGTCTGAATTGGTGACCAACTAGAGCAGGTTACCTTTGTTGGAAAAATGCTCAGGAAGGCTCTCAAATCATTGCTTGCAGAATTCTTGCATTCTAACAAAAATGCTTTTGTTTGGAAGCATTCAAATATGGTGGGAATCAATCAATCTATTATGGTGCACCAATTTTATGTCAACCCGAACTTCAAACTTGTGCAATAGAAGCGATGAAGCTTTGCTCCAAAATGAAATAGAGCGATTAATGAAGAAGTGCTTAAACTCCTTAAAGCCAACTCGATAAGGGAACTGCAATACCTAGAGTAGCTAGCCAAAGTAGTGCTGGTAAAGAACCAGTGAAAAATGGTGGATATACATTGACTTTACGGATTTGAACAAAGCGTGTCCAAAAAACTACTTCCCATTACCTAGAATTGACATTCTAGTTGATGGTACAGTAGGATACGAGATACTCACCTTCATGGATGCATTTTTTGGCTATAATCGGATCGTGATGGATGAATCTGACCAAGAGAAGACCTCATTCACCACAGAAGAAGTGACTTATTGCTATAATGTCATGTCTTTTGTTCTAAAAAATGTAGAAGCCACAGACCAAAGGATAGTCAACCAAATGTTCAAAGAACTCATAAGAAGCTCTATGGAGGTCTATGTAGATGAAATGCTCGTCAAAAACCTTCAAGCTAGTGAATACATAGAACATCTAAGAAGAGCTTTTGAGATACTCAAAAGGTACAACTTGAAGTTCAACTTTGTCCAGTGTGTCTTTGGAGTCTCTTATGGGAAGTTCCTAGGTTTCAATGTGACCCAAAGGGGCATTGAAGCTAACTCTGAAAAGATCCAGACACTCCTAGATATGAGGTCCACTCAGAACACCATGGAGGTTCAAGTGCCCACAGACAGGTTCATCTCTCAGCTATTGGAAAATGCCTGACTTTCTTCAAAACACTGAGGAAAGCCTTCGAATGGAGCCCGAAGTGCGAGGCTACTTTCAAAGCTCTAAAAGATTGCATCAGCAAACCACCACTCTTTGTTAGGCTAGAACAAGGAGAGAGGTTGTACCTATATGTTGATGTGTCTCAAAAAGCAATTGGTGAAGACTTAGTTTGCCAAAGAAAATGAGTTCAATATCCAATTTACCATGTAAGCCAAACACTGAGGGGGGCAGAGTCCAAGTACCCAATAGTAGAGAAAATATTTGTTGCATTGATAACAACCTATAGGAAGTTAAGACCTTACTTTCAAGCATTTACGATTGAGTTGATAACAGATGTCCCTTTGTGGTAGATCCTTTAGAAGCCTATTTTTCCAAATGACTAACCAAATGGTCAATCCAGCTAAGAGAGTTTGATGTACAATATACTCAGTGGATCATTATGAAAGGACAAGTAGTAGTTGACCTAATTGCAGAATCTACGAATGAGAAATTAGAATCCCTAAAGGCTGACAACTAGACAAATAGTTGGAAGATATATGTAGATGGTTCCTCCAATTCATCTAGGGGTAGAGTTGTTCTAATCCTTATCCCACCAAAAGGAGGAAAAGATTGAGTATGCCCTACGCTTTGGGTTCATGGTCTCAAATAATGAAGCAGAATATGAAGCCCTCATTCCAGGTCTAAAGCTAGCTAAGTCACTCAGATTAAAACATTTACATGCTTACAGTGACCCATAACTAATAGTCAGAAAATTGCAATGGAGGTATGAGGATAGGGAGGCCCGAATAAGCTTTTAATTAAGTATTATAAAGAAAACGGTACAAGCGTTTGAGCACTTCAAGGTAGTCTAGATACCTTGGCTCTAGAACTCTAATGCAGAATCTTTAGCACAACTAGCTTCAGCTCTATTCAATGACATAGTAAGGAGCATCTCTATGGAATTTTTACAACAATTGAGTACCCAAGGCCTAGATATCTAACTAGTTGCACTAGAGGCAAGCTGGATTAATGAAATATTCACATATCTGTAACTCCCAGGATATTTAGATGGCAAAAAAATCTGTAGGAGGGCGGCTAGGTACGTAATACTCAACCAGGTTCTCTAAATGAGAGGGTATTCGCTTCCATGCTTAAGGTGTCTAGCCCCTAATGAGGCAGCATATGTGCTCAAAGAGCTATATGAAGGGTTTTGTGAAAATCACTTGGGAGGACATGCTTTGGCACAAAAAGTGCTCAGACAAGGGTATTTTTGGCTCACAATGAAGAAGGATACACAAAGCTATGTGAGAAAGTGAGAAAAAGGCCACAAATTTGCATTTGTCTAGAAGCTGCCTCCCACTGAGCTCACCCCAATAACAAGCTCATGGCCATTTTCCTAGTGGGGAATTGATATTATGGGGCCCCTACCAATGGGGAAAGGTCAAAATATGTTCACAATTATAGCTATAGACTACTTCAGTAAGTGGTCCGAGGTAGAACCCATAGCAACATTCATTGAGCAAAAAATCCAAGGATTTATATGGAAGTAGATTTGTGAATATTTGGCATCCCAATAGTTTATCAGTAGTGACAATGGAAAACAATTTGATAACGACAAGTTTAGAAGGTTCTGTTCTGAGCTCAAATCCACAACTATTATTCATCTTTAGGTCACCCACAAGGCAATGGGCAGGTTGAGTTAACAATCCAAATTCTTTTCAAAAGTATCAAAACTAGGTTTAAACAATCTAAAGGATTGTGGGTAGAGGAACTCCCAATTATCTTATGGGCCTATAGAACAATTGTTATAACCCCAACAAGAGAAACTCCGTTCTCCTTGGAATTCAGAAGAAATATAGTAATTTCAGTGGAGATTGGTCTAGGAATGTAAAGAACAAAGGAATTCGATCTAGCTAGGAACAACCATTAGTTAGCTTGCAATTTGGATGCTAGGGAGAAGAAATAAGAATCACAAGGGTGGTAGCATATCAACATAGGATGGCAATGTACCACAACTCCAAGGTCAAGCCACATACTTTCCTCTAGAATGACTTGGTTTTAAGGAAAGTCACCCCATTTACAAAAATGCGAGGGAAGGGAAGTTAGGAGTAACATGGGAAGGGCCATATCGAGTTATAAAATCTCTAAGACCAAGGACTTATCACCTAGAGACCCTAGAAGGAGTCAAGTTAGCTGATCCATGGAACACTGAAAATTTGAAGAAGTTCTACCAGTAATTATGCTTTTCCATTAATTGTAATAGGCTTTCTTTATGGCCTTTTGGCTTGCATCAATAAATGTGATATTGTCTATACAACAAAGCCTTAAGTCTCAGATCCTATTTTATGTCGCATCCACACTTGACTACTTAATAGAGGGAGAAACCATCAAACCTAGCTTGGATTGAATCCTTGGGGTTTATTAGGAGCCTAAAGCATCAAGCCTAGCTCGGATTGAACCCAAGGGGTTCATTGACAGTATAAGGCATCAAGACTAGCTCGGATTGAACCCCAAGGGTTCATTAGCAAATTAAGGCACCCCATATAACTAGGGTATAGCCTGAAAGAGGCACACAAGAAGTTTAGAAATACAAGAGTTATCTGCAACAAAGATAAGAGGAAGAGGACACTAGTTGCTGTAATAACAAAAGTACTTTGATTACTACAGGGGCAAGAGATTATAGTTGTAAAAAGTAACTTACTCTGCTTCCTCAACTAGAAGGCTCTCCTTTGCCAGGTCCTTTGCAAGAGTCTTTGCTTCGATCTCAGACTTGGCTTGGTCTCTAGGATCCACCCCAGCAGCACTAGTGATCTCATAACTAGCTTCATCTTTCTCCTACTCCTTCTTTCTCCGTAGCCAAGGGAGGATCATCCTTAGATAAGATTTTGTAGAAATCAAGCTCCGGGAATGCATGAGCAGCTCAAGCCTTGAACTCCTCAAAACCATTATCATAATACCCAAGATTCTCCTTCTTAAAATCAAGAGTCATTGAAATCCTTCATATCTACACTAGTAGTAGTTTTGACAACATTAGCAAGATCAGACTCTTTCTCTTTCAAGACATCAGAGAGTTTAGACTCTTTCTTGTTCAAAGCAGTAGAGAGCTCAGAAACTTTAAGGAAGAGGGCCTTGTTCTCCTCTACCATCTTCTCCACCTGAGAAGAGAGATCAAAAGTAGAACTTTCAGAGGCAACAAGCTTTAATTCCACCTCCTTCTTACTGCCCAAAAATCGATTCCTCTTATCAGTCATCTCATTAAAACTAAGTTAGATGTCCCCCTTCTCCTTGAAGGACCCGTTCTTCTGCAACTTCTCTATCTTTTCCACCAGATGAAGGAACTCTTTCTCATAAGATTCCTTCTCGGCCAATGCTGAATAAGAAATGCTTGTAACAAGAATGGCCAGTTGCATAAATAACAGATGAGTATACTATCCCCAAGTGGATAAAGAGATCAAAAGAAAGTGAAAGAAAGGGACCAAAAGATGTCTCACCTTTCTAATGGTCTTCTAGAGAGCAGCTACATCCTAGTTAGACCTCATTTTAAGGATAGTTTGAATCTTGCTATTATCAAAAAATTCAAGGGAATAGGGTGTTCCTCTATATATTGAAAAGTCCAGACCTAGATCCCTAACAACCTTAGCACTTAATGAATTAACAAGAAGCATAAAAAATGTACCAGATGGTGTCTTGGAGCACGATAGGATCATAGGGTATGCTGGAGGGCTAGAAACAAATGTCTTTGGCTTTGGAGAAGACATCCTAGGCTTCTTGTGATATGAAGACCCACTTACTGGATCCCTAGATGCTTTAATCTCTTTCAGAAGCTTTTTATCAATGACCTTGGGAGCCATTTCTATTAATTATATAATTGGAAGTTAGAATTTAAAAAAGAAAGAGATAAAGGGAAATCAAAGCACGAATCATCACTCGATGGAGAATGGCTAGATGTAAAAGGCACAACTACAGCTTTGAGGCCAAGACCTAGTTGTCACTCAAACAATGTCTGATTGATGACTAAGTTAGGCAAGCTCTTGGTGTGATAATCCAAAGCCATTTCAATTCAAACCTTAAGTTCAATAGAAAGAGGACTAGTCTTACATGTACTACGGAAACATATTAATAAAATTCCACAAAAAAGAGGCCATAAGAAAGAAATAGACAATTCATGAAGAGAAGGAGGATGAGATCCCCCAGAGGTGAGGGACCAAACGAGGTCTTCCAGTAAGGGCCTCAGAAGGGTTGAACTCCAAGCCAAGCCTAGACACAAAGAAAAAATTACACTTCCATTCCTTCATTTTGGATTAATACCTGGTGAGAAGCTCAATTTTCTCTCTTTTCGAAAGGTAGAACCACCCTTTGCTCTGCCCAGAATAGAGTGTGAGCTTGTAGTAGTGTAGAAGTTCTGCTATGGTAGGGTAGGTACCCACAATGTTAGCTCTTGCCCATAAAATTTTGGTATAGATAAAAAATCCCCACCTATTTAGAGTTAATTGAGAAGGGGCAAGATTTAAGTAGTGGAGGGCTTCCCTAATATTTTAGCATGGGAAATTGAAGACTGCACTCAAAAATTAATTTAAAAAAACATACTTTGTTTCTTGTAAAAGAGTCTACGGTTTCATATAAAGAAGGAAGACAGAGGCAAATAGAATGAGGGATCTAGTAGAGTTTTCTAATTTCTCCCAGTGCCTTTTCATTGAGAGAACTTTGGAATTTCTTTTCCCCTACCGCGACAATGGAATAATAAGCAATCTCTAGGATGGATTCTTGTTCTTCGTTGGCCTTATCGGCCTCAGCAACAAGGGATGTGGTGTTCCTCGAGAGGGTTCGCTCTGAATCACTCATCGCTAGAAAACAGTTATGATAGGTATACAAATTAGGTGGGGGAAGATAAGTAAAACTAGAAGAAAGAAGAGATAATAAAAATTAAAGAAAGATTTGAGTCGGGATTGGGAAAATTGATCAACAAAGAGGTCCAGGAGATCAAGGTCATGACCCTTCACTTGAGAAAATAGAAAAGTAGAAATAAAAGTGAAAGGTGTGACTCCAACCTAAATACTACAGCTTGAAGTATCCAAGTAAATCAATAAGAAATCAAGAAGATCCAGATCAAGGAAAAGATGTGTACACAGGCTATTGGATGAGTTCTTTGAGGCATGCTGGACTTTGATAGTGAAGCGTGTTTAAATACTAGCCACACAACGGGTCTTTGGTGGTTTCATCCGCATAAGCCACGACGCCGATTCCCGAGGCACTAATGAACAAAAACATTAAATGAAGACCAAGTGCAAGCCATGTCGAGTTAAACTGGGGGCAACTGAGAAACAAAAAAAAGGCACGTGCTCAGAATGTTGAGCTTAGTTGCTCTAAATGTTGAGCTCAGTAGCTCGAATTAGTTCCAGCTCGGCAGCTAACCATCCCTTAAACCCCTGGAGCTCGGCAGAGTCTTGCTTTAGAAGAACTTTGACATGTTCAACTTAACCACTACTTTCATTGAGCCAACAAGACTTGGTCAAGCAAGTGGAGTATAATAAATTCAGCTTAAATAGGCAGAGCAAGATTCGATAACGGCCTAACCATCTGGCCTATAAGAGGGGAGGCCATAAAGGAGATCGTGTCACACCTCACCCAGGAAAATAATACATATTGTCTATATCCAGAGAGTGGACCCCACTCATGTTAACTACACATGGTATAAAATTTCCTATAACTTAATTAAAACCAAGCATTCTTTCATACATACATAATTCATGCATGCAACATCTTCGTCATATATTTACATAAAACCCCATTTAATCTCTACCAAATGTTAAAAGCTTGACATCTAACAACTGTGCATATTTACAAGCACAAAATAATTCAAAATATAACATCAAGACTCCACTAACTCCTCGACCTTCTAGGGCTTAGTAGTGGATTTTAAGTTCCCCTTGATTCCCTGAAAAGCCACAAACTATTGGGGGGGGGGGGGGGGGAGGAGGTGAGGAGAACATGATCAGTGAATGAATAGTTTCAATAAATTGATAATAGCAAAAGCATACCCGACACGACATCACTTATTAAATGCTCAATTAACAAGGGACTAAATAGAACAATTATAACCACACATCAGCATACATCATATGTCATCAACTAAGCATTTGCAACAATTATAATCAAAGTCACTATAAACATTTATACAAGTTTGCCACTAAAAATCATGCCAATATTGGTTACTTATTTGCCATTATGACCTTATTACGCCATAAAGGCGTAATCATGTCACTATCGGCTACTTATGCACCATTTTAAGGCTATATTCCTACCACAAATGTGTATTCATGCCATTATTGGTCACTTACACTTGCCTTTAAGGCCATAACATCATAAGCATGTAGTAACATCATATAAATATACCTTGGTCATTATCAACCACAAGGAATAGTATTCGCATACAAATGTCATGCACTTCCATTTAATTCCATCATGCATGTATGTATGTTTACCCACACACATGTTAACAAAATTCCTCATCATTATGCAACCCATAAAACTCATAACGAAATCATTTAAGGTTCATTGAATACCTTAGCAATGTCTTAGATCAATTGCATAAGAGCTTAGAACATCACAACAAATTTGTCAAAATTTAATCTGATGGATCGATTCGTTATTACCCTTCAACCGGTTGAAACCCTTCCAATAATATGTTCAATCGGTTCAACACATCCTTCAACCGGTTGATGTGCAACCAGTACTCTATTCAACTGGTTGATTCTTCAACCGGTTGAAACCTGTTCTAAATTTTAAAATTTGGTTCAAACTTCATCTTCTTTTTCCCAAACTCAAATCTAATACCACCCAACACTTACCCAAGCCTCAATGACATATTTTGATTACCTCCGTTGCAAGGACATATTTCGGTTTTCCTTTGAATTCCACCCAAAGGCTTTGAATCTTCTTCAATTCTTCAAAACAATTCCAATTCACTTCTTTGCTCAATCAAATATCACACAACTCTCAAAGAAGAAGGTTTCTCTCACTCAAAAAACACATGCAAACTCCGATGAACTCTTCTCTCCAAAACCCTTAAGCTTTTCTATTTTCTTTTCTTATTTCCTTACTTTGCTTTTCTTCCCTTTCTCTCTTCGACCGCCTGAGACTATTTTCCCCTTTATAAATTTTTCTCAAACACATGGATGCAGAAGCAAGACACAGTCGAGTGTCTTTTTTATGCAAGAGTTAGCATAATTACATTAAAGCCCCCTCATGTTTTGCTTATCCCTTTATTTAATTAACTAAGATTTCTCAATACTTTTAAAATTTTACTTTACTCCCCACTACCTTGTAATTTTAAAATTACATTCCTCAATTTACGCATGCTCAACTTTCCTGAATTTAATTATCACAATTTGAACTCCCTGCAAATATTCATAAGCTGCACTTTAACCCACATTACTTATAAACTAATATATTATGCATGCTTGGGTTTTACATATCGAGGTAAGTGAATCAAACCCAAACAAAAGCTTCTCTGATCCCCCAAATATCTCTGACTGAATTTACCATCGGATGGTCGACCCCGGAGCTTCTATGGTCTCTAACTTGCTTCTACAGGTGTACGAGAGGATAGGCCCAGCTCTCCATGACATCTAGAGCTCAGTGAACATTCTAGACCATCATCAACTACGATCCTATCAAATTTCAAGCGCAATGATCACATCATAATCCATTATGTGAGGTGTTCTGAGTCTGAATTGGGGTGCTCTCGTAGGATCTAATGTGACTTAAATGACGGTTTCATGCTCAAAGTGGAACTTGCCTAAGATACACGCAAAAAAAAAAGTATATATATATATATATATCTACATAAGATAGCTAGGTGTTTGAACTTATGGGGAATATATTTTTTCCCTCAAATTTCACACACTTTTCCTCTCAAATTTCACAAACCCAACACAAATATTTCACAACACATAGTCACACATACTCCAGTACAAACTCACTGCACATACACACACACACATTATATATACACTTCAGCTGTACACACACACTCTAATACACGTATCATCCAATACACATATTTTTTCCCTCAAAACCATCATCAATCACTTATCTCACTCATCATCCCTTTATCAGACTCAAACGTCAAATCGCATCACTCATTTTTGTCACATATTTAATTATTTATATATTTTCTCCCTAAAAACATCACATTATTCATTTCTATTATATATCTAATTATTTAATATTTAATTAATTTTTAGTTAATATATTTAAAAAAAATTAATATAATGAGATCGATTTTTTAGATGCTCAAATTTTATATTTTATCGTGCCTTCAGACATGAATTATGACTTGTGTATATATATATATATATATATATATATATATATAGTATCGTACATCCAAAATTTAATATTTTAATAGGTGTTTTTATAACTTTTTTGAGTCATTTTTAAACAAAAAATTTATCGCTTTTTTTGGATAATTTACCACCGTTTTGGGTGTTTTATCACTATTATGATAACTATTTTTATTAATTTTCTTTTGCACAAAAAATACCATTTTTGTAGGTGATTTACCACATTTATGAGTGATTTTACCACTGTTATAATAACTATAATTATCATTTTTATTCATTACTAGAACAGTGATAAAAACACTCACAACAATAATATAAAACACCCACAAATGTAACAAATTCTAGAACAGTGCCAAATTTTATTTTTTTTTGGATACCATAACAACTCCTTCAAATTAAGGTGTTTATGTTCGAATTATGTCTTTTTTTTTTCCGTCAACGTAAATATCAAACAAAATCAACATATATTAAGCTACTTTGGGAAAAAAAATTATATATATAGATATAGTGGTGCTGGTGTGTGTGACGGTGCTGGTGTGTCCGGGGTGTGTGTGTGAGTGTGAATTGGGTTCATAGTTATTGTTTGTGACAATGAAGAATTTCAACTGTTACCGTCACAATTATACTATTAGATCACGTTACGGTCATTAGCTAAACAAATTAGATAAATATTTTAAGTGTCAAACAACATTACTCTTTAGAGAATTATTATAAGAATGGTCTTTTTTATTATTGAACAATTTAATTTTAGAAATAATACTATATTGATTCAATTATGAGACCAAGAATAAAATTCAATTAGTGAGGCATTGTTATATTAAAAAGTTTTGAATTTAAATAAATAACAATAGAATATATCAACACTACATCATTTAATTCCAATTTTAGATCATTTTGATTAATCTATTATTACCTTATTTTCAAATAATACGATGATAACTTTTCAAGAGAACTTCAAACAATTGACGCTAACATTCTGCCATAAAATTAATTATATAAAAATGAAGTGCCACGTCATGCCAAAACAGGGATGGAGTCGGGATTTTATCTTTTGGGGGTGGGGTGGGGAGGGGAGGGGGTGGGGAATCTTATGCACAATAACTCACACAAACAAAAATTTAAATTTCTAATATAACAAAATATTCAATATAAATAAAAGTACTCACACAAAAATAAGATAAACAAAAAAAAAAGTTTTTAATAATAATAGCCGGTTAATAAATGGACAAAAAAATCAACGACTGAAATTATTTTGTTTTGATCAATAATTGAATAAAAGACTTAAGAATGTACTTTGGAGCTATGGGGACAACATGTTCTTCTATGTTTTTATAAGGGGCTAACCTATTAGGAATTTTGGTGAGTTATTAATCGGACAAAAAATTAATTATTGTCTCATGATTGATTGATCCACATATCTTCTTTTGTACAGACAAATAAATAAGTTATCAAGGGAGGGCCAACATAAAACTCTTCAGAAACCACCCTATAGACCCCAGGTTATATAAATTATAGTGGGGCATGGCCACCTCAGGCCATGGCTTAGCTCCGACCCCGTGCCAAAACGGTCCCACTGACATTTTACATTTTCTAACAAAATTATATACATGTTTATATATATATATATATATATATATATATATATATATATATATATATATATATAAACGTATATATACATAATTTTATCAAATTATGTATTTTAAGAAAATTTTGTCAATATTTTTAAGAAAATAATATGTAAAAAGAAATTTTAAATGATGTAATCAAATAAATTAAGAAATAGAATTTTTTTATTTAACATAATGAGATCAATTTTTTGGGGTCAAATTTTATTTCCATCGTGCCTTCAGCTACGGTTTATAACTAGTATATTCATAAGACTCAAAGTATATATATTTTTTTCGTGTTCAAAAAAAAAAAAGTATATATTTTTAGTTTGACTCCTTTGTATCTGGTTCATTTAAGTGTTATTTGCTATTATAGTACGTGGATTAGGGATTATGATATGATTAGTGCCTGAATTTTCAGTTTTATGTAAATTTATTCTTCCTTGTTACTTGAGTTATTCCGTCATTATATGGGTAATTATGTGTATATTCAAGGTTTTTCTTAAATGGATATGTTTTAATAATACTGCATTGGTAGTTTGGAGTTGGAGTTTACACAGTACCATTTCAAATTGTGTACCATTTTTTGCCCCCAATTCTTATTTCAGACCCTAATTCCATGCCATGATCCCAAAATAAGGTTTTTTCCCCATCAATGAATGGCATCGTAATGTGTTTTTGAAACTTAAAACACTCTATATATTTTAATGAAACAAAATTAAGAAGGCAAGTTACACTCTGCTTGATGAAAGAACAGAGCAAGACAAAATTCCACTTTATGCTAAGTTGGAATAGTATGCGGAGAATACGTATTCATGATTCCCTATCAAAATCTATGGAGCAGGCTAAGTAATACCAAAATGCCAACCAAAAATGCTAACTTAAATATTTATTTTGCATCCTTAAAGTAAAATTACACTTCAACTCCTATGGTTGGACAGTTAACCTCTGTACCAGTTTTATGGATTTCTTTGTAGCAATATATAAGCCTGAAAAATTTTGGATGCTCTTTTCCCAAAATGTGGAGCTAGGAATATCTTGTTTCTTAATTTGTCTATCAAAATTATGTCGTTGGGCATATTGGGCGAGTTTAATGTCTAGTTAGTTCCTCGACTGGCATGCTTACTGTCTGCTCTTGGAGATTGAGAAGTGACTGTCGAACTTGGAACTTTCGGTTTGATATGTTAAATAGATGGTGTATAGAAATATAGATGTACCGGGATACATAGTTATCCTGAAAGCATATTAGCAAGTCACTGTCATCTACAAAAGTCTATGGACTCTTATTTCTATATGGAATATGGATGATACATGTTGTGCTATAGGGTTTTTACGTTGCTATAAATTTTGTCATTTTCCCTTTTGTAGGTATTCAGAAATACTGATGTGCCCATTGAATGGGAAGAGCGCTATGTTAGGCAGGAAATAGATCCTAGAACCCAGAGTTTTCTAACACTGGTAAATCTAGAATCAGTCCGAAAAAGTAAGGTCAGCTTAAAAGGATCGACGGCCACACCGATTGGAAAAGGTCATCATTCGTTGAACCTCACTTTTAGGAAAGAGCTAAACTTGTATGCCAATGTTAGGCTGTGCTACAGTCTCCCTGGATACAAGACTTGGTATGATGATGTTACTCTCATCACTATTCATGAAAACACTGAAGGAGAGTATAGCGGTCTTGAACATCAAGCAAGCCTGTTTGAACAATGTGCACATGCACGCACCAAAATGTGTTATGTATTAATTTGATGGAGTTCTTTGCATTTGCATCTGATGCTAGTTGATGGTGGGGGGGGGCTTGCTGAAAGCCTCAAGATCATTACTCGTCAAACAAGTTTGAGGGTGGCCGAGTATGCTTTTCATTATCCCAAGACCCATGGAATGATGGAAGAGAGAGAGTGTCTGCAATACACAAAGCTAACATCATGCAGAAAACTGATGGATTTTTTTGATGGTCTTCCTGGTTTTAAGCACATAAACTTGTAAGTCTTAGGTTGTTTTATATCCCTTCCTGATATAATTCCTTGTCTTCAGTTCCAGTGTTGTCGTGAGGTTGTAGAGAGTACCCTGAGATAAAATACGAGGAAGTTTTCATTGACAATTGTTGTATGATGGTATGGACATTTTTTGCATATGTTCATATTGCATGTGTGTGCACGTGTGTGCTACCTTGCTTTCAGATGTACACCAAAATCATTTTCAGAAAATGAGTAAGAAATTACACTGGCAGTGCCTTCCCATGTATAGCTTGTGACGAATCCAGCGCTCTTTGTATGTATTGGTGATGCCTAACCTCTATGATGACATTAACAGTGACCTTTGTGTTGGTTACCCAGGGCTAGAAAAATACCACAAACAAGATATAAACAAAGAGGATATTCTATTTCACTCTGGAAATAAAATACAAAATTTTATACATAAAATTCTCACTAAGATCTCTCTTGAATCTCTCTCTCGCTCTTTCTTCCTCATTGATCTTGAGCATATTTCTGGCCTTCACTAAACTTCCTATTTATAGGGAGTTTATGGCCAAAAAATCAAGAAAGGAAGGGAACACATTAAAGCTCGGGCAAGCTTTGTCAAAGCTTCAACTGTCCAATTGCCTAGCCATCAAATAGGGTGGTTACTAGAGTGCGCTATAGACTGATGGAGCTGGAACTTGTTGGCTACTACATAGGGTGGCTGGATCCTTCAGCTACTGCATAGGGTGGCTGGATCTTTCAATTCACCCCCTCCAGAACCATCAGTAGAGAATATAATCAGACATTTATCCCAGCTATGTCTCTACACAGCTCAAGCTTATCTCGAGTAACGACCTTTGTCAACATGTCTGTTGGATTCTCCTTTGCGTGGATCTTCACTAGTTTCAATAACTGTTGCTCCATCAGTTCACGTATCCAATGATAGCGAATATCAATATGTTTTGTCCGTGAATGGTACATTGAGTTCTTGCTCAAGTCCATAACACTTTGACCATCACAATGCACCTTGTATTCCTTCTGCTTAATACTTAGTTCTTGGAGAAACCGCTTCAACCACAACATTTCCTTACCAGCTTCCGCTGCAGCAATATATTTTGCCTCTGTCATGCATAAAGCTATGCACTTCTGCAATCTTGACTGCCATGACACAACTCCCCCTGCAAAAGTGTAAAAAAATCCTGATGTACATTTTCTACCGTCAAGATCTCTTGCCATATCTGAATCTGTATAGCCTTCTAAAATTGGTTTAACTCCCCCCGTAACACAAGCATATTTTCAATGTACTCTTAAGGTATCTGAGAATTCACTTGACTGCCTCCCAGTGTTCTTTCCCTGAATTTGAAAGAAATCTGCTCACCATGTCCACGAATCCGGCTCCTCTGCTGTTCCTTTAAACGGCACCGTTTGGTGCCTTTTTTAATCACCTGCAAATAACACCAACAAATAGGAATTGTAATCACCTGCTTATTTGTAATCACCTGCCTATTGGTCAAAATTATAAGTTTTTCAAGTAAAAGCTTTTCATTGGAAAAACATATGATTAAAGTTTATATTCAATTAAATTTATTTTTGGAATTAATTAGATTACCAAAAAATTATTTTTTTGGTACAATATTTTAGCTTTTCTAATGAAAAAAATGTGACAGCGTTCAAAATTTTCATATTATATGATAAAATTCAGAACTATGACAAAATATCGTATCATATTTTAACTTTTCATCCAATAAAAATGTGGGATTTGTAAAATATTTATATTTTATTTTTACAACACATATTTGAATCCATTAAAAAAAAATTGAATTGATTCGAGTAAATTTGCCAGACGAAATGTAAATTTATTATATTTCAAATTTGATTCCGATCATGAATCGATTATATTTCTGTTTACGATTTTGGATATTGGATATATCTAAATTTTATTAGGATTGTTATCCGACCTAAATTATATGTATAAGATAAAATAATTATTTGATGAGATTGTTTCAAAATTATGATGTAATTTGCTAAAATTTTATTTCAAAGTTATTCGGATCAGATTGAATTTTTTATTTTAACAGATTAAAATTTGAATTTTTTATTTTAACGAATTCAAATATAATTTTTTTTATGTTAATAAATTCAAATATGTGTTGTAAAAATAAAATATAAATATTTTACATATCCCACAGTTTTATTGGCTGAAAAATTAAAATATGATACGATATTTTGTCATAGTTCTGCATTTTGTAATATAATATAAAAATTTTGAACGCGTCACATTTTTTTCATTAGGAAAGCTAAAATATTGTACCAAAAAAATAATTTTTTGGTAATTTAATTAATTCCAAAAATAAATTTAATTGAATATAAACTTTAATCATATATTTTTCTAATGCAAAGCTTTTACTTGCAAAAATTATAATTTTTACCAATAGGCAGGTAATTACAATTCCTATTTGCTGGTGTCATTTGCTGGTGATTAAAAAAGGCACCAAACGGTGCCATTTAAAGGAACAGCAGGGGTTGCTATTCGCCAGCAACAGCAGAGGAGCCGAATCCCTATGTCCACTACATGGGCAATATCTGGCCTTGTACACACCATTGCATACATTAGACTCTCAACTGCTGAAGAGTAAGGAATCAGTGTCATATCTTCTATCTCCTTCTTTGATGAGGGACAAGAATTCTTGGTCAACTTGAAATAATTAGCTAGTGGGATGCTGACTAGCTTGGCAGTATCCATGTTGAACCTCTGGATCACCTGTTCAACGTATTTCTCCTTTGATAGCCACAATTTCTTGGTTGTCCTATCATGAACAATCTGCATACCTAGTATTTGTTGAGCTGGGCCTAAGTTCTTTATATCAAAGGACTTGGACAATTCCTTCTTCAATTGGCTAATCTTTATTGCATCCTTTCTAATGATCAATATGTCGTCAACATAAAGTAGGAGTGAAATGAAATTTCCATTACAGAATCTCTGAACGCAAACACACTGATCTGCTGCAGTCATCTTGTAGTCTCGACCCACCATGAATGAGTCAAATTTCTTATACCATTATCTGGGCGCTTATTTGAGGCTGTACAGACTCTTCTTCAACTTGCAGACTAAATTTTCCTTTCTTAGAACCTCAAAACCTTTTTGTTGTTCCATATAGATTTCTTCATTTAGATCTCCATGAAAAATGCAGTTTTTACGTCCATTTGTTCAAGCTCTAAGTTTAAACTGGCTACTAATCCGAGAATGACTTGAATTGTGGTCATCTTAACAACTGGTGAGAAAATCTCGTCAATTTCATTTTCTTTCTTTTGTTGGAATCCTTTAACGACCAATCGAGCCTTATATTTCACCAATTTTCCATTATCGTATTTCTTTAACTTGAACATCCATTTATTCCTTAGTGCTTTCTTGGCTTTTCGAAGTTTCACAAGCTCATAGGTTTGATTTTTCTACAACGAATCCATCTCATCCTGCATGGCTTGCATCCACTTGTCTTTATCCATATGGGCTTGTGCCTCTTGCAAACTCTCTGGCTCTCCCTCATCAGTAAGTAGAATATAGTATGAATTTGGATATCTACTCGACGAAATACATCCTCTTTTGGATCTTCGTGATTGAGGCTCGTCATCTATATGAGCTACACCATCCTCTAGTTGTTGTCTTGCAACATCTGGTGGAAGGGGTTGTTGCTTCCCTTACTCAACACCTTCATCATCATTTTGCTCTACTTCTGTAGTTTCATCCTGCACTTCGTCATTATCTGTGGCGAACTATAATGGTGCAGGGTCTGGAACAATGTCCTGTGCACTAGAATTAGAACTATTGAACTTTGTGGGATTTTCAAAGTCCTCAAACGCCTGGTTTTCATTGAACACCACATCTCTGCTCTTAATGATCCTTTTGGCCTTTGGGTCCCACAATTTGTATCCAAATTCTTCATGTCAGTAGCCTATAAAGATGCATGCAGTGGTCTTGACATCAAGTTTTTGCCTTTGCTCCTTGGATACATGTGCAAATGCTTTGCACCCAAAAATTCTTAAGTGAGAATAGGAGGGATTCCTACCAGACCACACCTTCTCCGGAATATCAAAATTCAATGGTACTGACGGTGATCTATTTATCAGATAATAGGCGACACGAACATCTTCACCCCAAAATGGCTTCTACAACTTTGCCATACTGAGCATGCATCGGGCTCTTTCCACAATGGTTGATTCATCCTCTACACTACTCCATTGTGATGTGGAGTACATGGAATAGTCTTCTCATGTCTCATACCATAATTTGCACAGTATGCTTCAAACTCTCTGGAAGTATATTCACCTCCATTGTCTGTTCGGAGACACTTTAGTTTCATTCCTGTATCCCACTCTACCATGGCATGGAATCTTTTGAAGCATTCGAGCATTCGAGCATTTGATCCTTCATCTTTAGGAAGTAAACCCATACCTTCCGTGAAGCATCATCAATAAAGATTAGAAAATATATGTTGCCGCCCAATGATTCCACCTCTAGGGGATCGCAAACATTAGAGTGTATTAGGCTTAACAACTCTAATCTCCTCTTTATAGAGGAATTGAATGAGACTCGATGTTGTTTACCAAACAAACAATGATTACAAGGATTTAGTGCAACATCCTTGGCAACCGTGATGAAATCCTTTTTTGCCAAAGTAAACAATCATTTTCCCCCCATATGACTAAGTCTCTGGTGCCACAGATTTGGTGAAGCCTCATTTTCAAATGCATTGAGGTTTTTTGAGCCAACCTTCACATGGGTCTTGTAAAGCGTGCCACAAATATGTCCTCGGGCGACAACCATGGCACCTTTTGTGAACTTCCATGTACCTTGGCTGAAATAGTTATCGTAGCCCTATCTGTCAAGGGCTATCCCAGAAAATAGATTTAGCCAAAGGTCGGGCACGTGTTGGACATCTTTCAATACAAATGTACAGCCAACATTTATTTTTATCTGAATATCACCAATTCTCACGATCTTGGAAGAAGTGGTGTTTCCCACCCTCACCGTACCAAAGTCTCCGGCTTTGTACGTCAAGAAGAAATCGCTGTGAGAAGTGGTGTGGTATAAAGCTGCAGTATCTACCACCCACTCAGCATCATGGTTAGAAAAATGAAGGCATGTCTCATCATTGATAGAAAGAATAGTCACATCCTTTGTAAGAGTGACTAGTGTTTCCCCATCCTATTTCTACGGCTAATTACTGCCTTGGCCTTGCTCTCATAGCAATTTGTTGCAGTTTTTCTTTATGTGGTCTTGCAAGCCACAATGGTAACACTTGTATGTAGGTTTTCATCCATTATTTGATTTCCCTGAATCTTGTGACTTTCTTTTACTCTTACTCCTTCCTCTTCCCCTGCTTTTGCCACCTCCTTGTTGTCTGCCTCTACTCTCAGTGACGAGGACATTTGACTGGTTAATGCGAACATCCTTTCTCCTGGCCTCCTCATTGAACAAGGCATCCTTAACAGTTGACATGGTAAGTTTACCTCCTGGAGCCAAATTGCTGAGAGAGACTACCAGCATCTCCCAGCTGTCTGATAGAGAACTGAGAAACAATAGAGCTTGTACTTCATCCCCCAGATTCAACTCTATTAATAATAATTGATTTACCAGACTCTGGAACTCACTAGTGTGCTCGCCAATTGAAGTTTCATTTTTTAACTT